TAGGCAAGATTCATACTTGAGAACATCACGAAAAAAGTTGAACATCGTCGTTACCTGTTAAATAAAAGAAGTAGTGCCATTCGTCACAAACCGCATGAAATGTTTAAGTAGTATATATAATTAAATAAGGTGTTTTGTATAGTGGTATGCTGTACTTAAATAAAAAAACAGTATTTATGTGTTGCGTTTAATAGAGTAACTTTTGTATAACAAGACTTAATTTTTATTTTATGACACCAACAAGTACTTATTAATTATGTTTAAAATCGAAAGTATAGACTCCAGATTTTAATACATTTAATAATTTTTAAAGTAGTCATATAATAAAGTCAAGTCTTTAGTAAGATAACTAACACTAATCTATTGTATTTTCTTTTACACAACTGTTAATATGTATAAATTTAAGTATAATCAACTGCACAGAAATAAATGTATATTCACCATAGGCTATATAAAAAACATGATAATAAAGTATAAAATTAAAATGTAAGAGAAAAAAAGAAACACAATTTGTATCAAACAGTGTTATATATGTATGTCGTAGTATGGCACTTCTTTTGAAACTGTAAATGATAAGTTAGTTGTAATTTAATGTTTAACTATGTTATTTTCTTTTTATTTAGTTAGTATGTTTCTATCGAGATTTTTTGCAAAGTTACGTATAATAAAAATCGTATTAGCAAAATAACTTTTGTTTGTTAATTTTTGTACATTTTGCAGTTTACGCAATATTTAAAAGTAAATTTATATAGAAAGAAATGTTGCAAAATATAATATTTGTTCTCGAATAACTAGACTATTTGCAATAAGTTTTTAAACAATAAAGATTAGCGATACAGCAGCATATATTCTACAAATAATGCTTTTGCATTTAAGAGTATTGGACATAACACAATTTTGATCGTAATCGTAAGAGTTGAAAAACAATTGCTTACGACTACAATACGTGTAATGGCTTTTAATCAGCGTTATTAAATTTTATGTAATACGTATATGTAAATGGTATTATATTTTTCCACTGACATGTCGCGCGCGTGACAAATATAAATATGCAAAACGCTGTCTTACGTAGATACGCGCGTTTAGTCGCAAAATTTTAATACTTCAGATCTCGTTAATTAGTGCAAATCTCGCAATGTTTAAACAGTTCGATTCAGTAATCTTTTTTCTTATCTGAACGTTTCCACGGCTATTACTGTACACTCTGTATATGCATGTACGCAATGGTGACTATATTATAATATTACAGTATTAATCAAATTTACACACTTCATACCTTTAATGTACACAATGTAATCTGTAATGTACACATGTAAGTTTTAGTAATCCGTCGCTTTTTCTTATCACCGAAGCTTTAAAATTCACACGCGGGAGTAACAATATCACACTTAAAAAACTTCAAATTACTGTGTATGTCTTCACAAATTTCTAGTATATATTTAGAGAATAAAAGGATTATCTTGCAATTTAGAAGAATTATCTTATTTAAAACTTGCTGTATATGAAAGTAAATTTGTACATAAAACCGTTAAAAAACATATTTCAAATACGATATTTCTATCATCATTTATATACGTAAATTGCAATCGTAAGATCGTTTCCTCTCCACACACATACGTTTACATCGTGGTACGTATTCTTCATTTCACAACAAACGTCTGCTTTGTTTTCACTTAATAGTTATTGATGATTTCTTGACACATCAAGATTCGGCATAGATACGCATACGCGCTACGTTTGAAACTTGTAGTACCAGCGTGCAATATTTTCTGCAAGATTTCTAATTTAATACTTTAAAGAAAGTCGCGACGGTTTCTATACATATAAAACACTAATCTGAAGAGAAATCCGAAATGCATACTAAAATGACGCATATAATACTACTACTTTTGTTCTGTTAAATTATCCGGATAGACAGATTCTATACTTATAAGGTAGATCAGAGTCGTAGAACGTACTACTTGCCGAAAGTTTGCTCAAAAACATCACGTTTGCGTCGGGCGTGACGCTACGCAAGGCATCGCACATGTCTTTGCGTAAAACAAAAAACAAAAATTTACATGATACATCAAAGAAATTATATTGTTCAATTAAAATTTTTAAAGATTGTGAGTGTAGTAATAACTTTTTTGCTTATAGAAATAATTTTCTCGCAACAAATCTTTTGTAGCATTGCGCATACTTGGCACAGTTAAAAATGGTTTAGTAAAAACTGTTTTAGAAGTTTGTTATAGTATTTTAATTGTAGTTTTAGAAAAACTTATATATACTAAAATATTTTCTGGATAAAACATTTTATTAATAAATGTCTCCTGAACAGTAAAATTACATCTTTTGAAAAACTCAGAATTCTATACACACGTAAATATAATACAACCTAAGTAAGGTCGTTTTTCCCACTACAGACGTTTACATCGTGATAAGTATTTATTCTTTCATGGAAACGACTTGTCTTGTAGTTGTCGACCAACTTTCGAACAAGCAAGATTGCAGATATTCGTTGGCACTTGGTTTTTAAACTTATAGCGATATTACGTATAAAGTGATGTTTAAGATTTATAGTTTAGGAGATAAAAGAGATAAAATCTCGAACATGGTAAGTTATGAAAAACTCGTGTGTGTTGAATATTCATATTTGTTGTGAAATATAATTTTCATTTGTCATTACACAATAAAACAATATAGAATCCGGTTTTTTTAAAAACATTTATATCTATTTTAGTTTATTACTTAATGTACAAATCGTAATACTTGTTCGTGTACTCTATATAAAAGTATTACATAAATATTAGTACGATCTAAAAATATTGTTTTTACTTAGCCGTAACTTACAATGTGTAACATACTATAAAATTAAAACGCGTTCGTAAAATGTAGACAAATTTCTCGAGTATACCTCTGTTTGTTGAAATACTATCTTGTCAAAAACGTTCAGCACACTTTGTATTTTTCAACTTTCAATCGTCTTTCTACAAATCAAAGTGAGAAAAACAACGCAGTCATGACAACTTATACGTAAATGTATGTGTGTGCGTATGTGAAAAACATAAAGACGTCGTAACTTAGTGATAAACATACCTTTTAACGGTCATACACAATTGTTTTTGACAAGTATATCTAAAAACAATTAATATTTATTGTGTATATATCGGAATCATGTGTTGCTGTTTATGTGTGTAAATTGCTTCTTGTTTATAACAATAATAAATTGTATAGATTCACAGTACACAGATGCTTACGTTCTATGGAACTATGTGTTTAATATTTCTAACCGGACTTGTTACTTCAACTGATAAGAATTTATTCCAAGAACCGCAGTGTATACAACCGATAGAATACTTTATGAATATTTCTGAGGAAGTAGAAACTAATTCACTCAACGTCATTTCACGTGTCACACTCAATATTTCATGTACAAAGCGTAACCTCCAACTTTATCTCAGACCGTATTGTGATGTTACACACGATTTTATCAGCGTTACTATCAGCGATCTTTCTCGGCATAATTATTCGTATGTGTCGTACCACCGATTTTCTCCACAAGGAAGATTCATTAAATTCGTTCTCTTGGAACGATATATAGACGATCTTCAAATAAAGCAACGGGAACAAAATATACAACCTCGAATATATTGGATAACTATGAGATATAAATGCATTTTAGAGAAAGTTGCAACGATCTTCCAATATGTAAATCAAAACAAAGAAGAAAAGTAAGTAAACGATAGTGCAGTAAGTATTTCTTTTGTTTTGTAGAGAAACTAAAATGTATAAAACTTTGTTACTTAAATACCAATGTATTTATACAATCTACGTTTTTTCATTATATAGATATTTGATTTTACCTCGTATTCCCGCTGAATGGATATTTCCATATTGGGAAAATCCTGCAATTAAGGCCAAATTTACTATTCGAATTAACCATGACGTTGGTACAACAGCTTTGTCACACATGCCTGGTGATAGTAGTGTAGAAAGAAATAAGGTCTATACTTCTTTTTCTATCACACCCGTAATGTCCACTCAACTGGTAGCAACAGTAGTTATACCTTATGAATGTGCCATACCTATTGTATTGTTGGATAGTGTTACTATAGCAACCAGGTTAGAAGTGAGAAAAGACATATTGTACGCATCGTTTCTTATAGAGAATATTACGATATTTCTCAGAGAAAAAGTAAAGGATGTCATAGTGGCCTCACATGTGCGTTATGTAGCACTTCCAATAAACTCCAGCTCTTACAATACTATAGTAACTACTGGACTTGTTTTGTTCAGGTATGATACATTACTTAAAATATTACAAANNTAGCTTCAAACAAATATACACATGCTGTACGACATAATTGCATTAAAAACAATATTATGTTCAGAGACGCTGACATTGCATATAATAAAGAAGTAGATTCGATTATAAAAAAAACAGCAGTAACATGTTTGGTTGTACGCAGTGTGATACAAGAAATGTTCAGTAATTGGCTAGTTGGATTTAAGGAGTCTGATCCTTGGTTTGTTGAAGGTTTTTCGACATTTTACGGAGTTTATCTATTCGATCAGGTATTACGTGCATCTGTAATTCAATTGCTTTTTTTCACTAAATTATATTGTNAAAAGAAACGTAGTTTAATAACATGTATTTAACATAAATATATAAAGTACTATCATCAAGTAGTACCATCTAAAGTTAATGTTATATTTTCTATTGTTTTTTTTCTAAACATAGTATACATCATTTAAGTTTTATATTAAAAATACATATATATATATGTATATGTAATATACATATATATGTGTATATGTAAAAACATATTAATTATACACATACATATGTGTGTGTGTAAAAACATTATTATACATATATATTTNTACAGATCAATAAAGAAAAAACATAATATGTAATAAGTAATGATCTCAGAAAGTTTGGTAAAAGATTTTGCTATACACTTCTTTTTTAATTAGTTTTTGTATTATATATAATACTTCTTGAAGACTGTATTAATACTAATTTGCGTAAACTAAAAGTTTTCTTATTACTTGATACCAAAGGCTTAGTACTATTTCAAGATAAATAACAAAGCTAACTTAAACGTATGTGTATTTATTCAAATTGTTGATAGATTTACAATGAGACTTTACTGATGTCAATTGTGGTCCAGACACGACAGATAATTTTTGAATATACACAAGCATATATTGACCATTTATCAATACAAAAAAATGTATTTCTCCAAAACGTAACGCTTAGTACCATGTGGAAAGAAAAATGTAAGAACCATCAGAATTTAAAACTTCCAATTGCTTAAGTCTTTGCTTACAAAACTGCATAACAATATAAATAATATAAAAATATAAATATAAATAATATAAAATCTCATTCTATATATTTTAAAACTATGAAGAATAAGAATACAAAAAATAAGAATATGCAATACATTGTTCTCGAATATTTGATCGAATTATACAAGTAGAGTCACCTATCATTGTCTGCATTTAGAAAACATAAAAATACATATACATGTAATATACATATTCTTGTGATAATACTTTGATAACTTCCTATTAATCAAAATTATGTTGTAGCATTTAATATATTCTCTATGATTAATAATTTCTTTTATAACAAAAATATTCTATACAATTCTATTTTTGAGGAAGCGATAAAATTGTATTTTACCACGTGAGTAATTATTATTAAAGTACTTGAAAAATGTATAGTAAACTGTGAGTAGCACTATACGTAACGTGAAAACAGTATCCCATATTTTTCTATAAAAAGTAAAACAAGCCATCAATATATTTTGTGTTATGATCTTTGTTGTTATTAGTAAGAATACATCGAATGATACATTTAATGAACAGTCTCTTCTCGATATTTTATGGAAAAATGTACTTGTCGTACCGGCTGTATATCAAAATATTCGTGTAGAGAATATAATCATAAAAAATGCGATAACTTCCTGGATAACCCAAGATGGATACCCTGTGGTACAAGTAACACGATACAATGACACAAAGTTTCTATCAATAAAGGTTATAGACTGTATCGCAGTTAATCAAACGAAACTGTGTGAACACAAGTGGTGGATACCTGTATCCTATGTAAAAATATCAAGAAATCAGTCTATTACACACTATTATACAAACCTACACCAAGGCAAACTAACTATCTTAGTACCGAATATTGAAGAAGATGATTTTATCATGATCACAGAGCAAACCGGTAATACAAAGAAATTATGACCGTAGTGTCCTATGTAATTTGTTATTGTATATTCAAAAGTTTTAACACCGTCTTACTTCTACTCTTTTTTTTTTACATTACAAGGTTTCTCTTTTATTCATTTTCTCTTTTTCTCGTATTTTCTCTCTGTCTCTCTCTTTTTCTGTGTCTCTGTTTTTATTAACTTTTTTTTATTTATAACGCTCTTTTTTTGAGTTTCTGTGTGTTTTTTTTAAATATTTATTTATAAATCAATTGTTGTAGGATATCGCGTCAACTATGATCATAAAACGTTGGAAAATATTGCTCTCTTTCTAAAAAGTGAAAAGCCCGAGATTTGGAATGTAAACGAATTATCTGACGTCACTTTAGCACACATTCTCGACGATGCTTTTCATTTCTTAATACAAAATACAAAATATAATGTACATCCAACTGCAAAAAGTAATAATATAGACATATTTTTTAATCTTGCAAGCAATATTATAGTTTACATGAGAAATTCGTACATAACGTGGAATCCTGTACTTACTGCTCTTCAGTATATATCAAAGATTTTTCCGTATCCAGAAATTGCAAGTATTAAGGTAAATATTACTACATTGCATTAAAAGAAATACGAAATTGAAAAGCCAAAAGACCAACAACGGAATAAAAAAAAACATCAGTGAGATATTTGTACGACATTCTATACTACAAGTTTCTTTGCACTATTTTTGTGAGTCGTCAACATAACAAAATGTATAAATTACAATAAGTGCATAAACAATAGACAAAAGATCATAAACATACAAAACAACGTACTATCAGAGCAGTACAGTATAAATAAATACAATTTAAAAAACAAAAACTTGCACATTGCAAATATGTAATAAGTAATTGTTACAAAGTGAAGAAAATATTATATTTTTGTTACTTTGTATTTAAATATATATTATATATGTGGTTTTCTAAAAACAAGAAAATAGAAAGGATTTGCGAATATATGTATAAACAGTATTATTGAAACGTAACACTTATTAAATAAGAAAAAATAAATTTTCCATAAATATTACTAAACAAAACCCTGCTTAATAAAATGAAGAATTTTAAATATATCATAAAATATACTATAAAAGTATATTTTACACTTTTTCAGACTAAAATCCTTCAACTATTGAATATCTTCCTTGAGGATACATCACATAAAAACTTTTCTGAAAATAGTATCAGTAATCAAGTATATCATGAAGTTGTAAAATGGACGTGTATTCTTGATGGTGTAAAATGCGAAGAACATGTTAATGCCATAGTAAAGTGGCATTTAGAAAATCCTATAAACAACAAGTACGTTTTTCTGATCCGTATGACGTTCTCTTGCTACTAAAGTATTATATATTGAATAAATGTGACGTGAGTCTTGATACAGTATTATAATATTGTAAGAAAAGTAAAAACTTGCAAGTAAATTATTCTCTAAAGAAACTTAACTACAAAATAATTACATATATAGTAACATAAACTATTTATATTTATAAATTATAGTTTTATGTATACATATATTTACATACAATTATGTTTTTAAATTGTAGACTTTTGCCAAGTTGGCAGAAATGGATTTACTGCCAAAGTTTAATTTTAGTAAATGCTACTTCTGATTCGTGGCAAAACATAGAGAAGATATATTCAACCCATAAAAACAAAGAAAAACTTTTTGAATTGTTACCTTGTTCTGGACATAATATTTTGCAAGCTTTACGTCAAATTGAAGTTACTTTACTAACCAAAAGACAATCTGTTTATGTTCTTTTCGATAGTGTAGCAAAATATTCAAAAGATGTTACATTATTAAATAGTATAACAAGCAGACTACACAATTATGCAAGGTAATGAATGTTCTGTATATAAAACTGTGTATATTTATACTGTATAGATAAATTTATTTTATATAGTTTGAATATTTATGTAAAGTGATTTAATTAATACATTAGTTTATTATGTCATGTGTTAGAATATGTTGTATGTAAATAAAAATGTCTTGCACAAAGTATCTAATAATTGTGATTTTTTACAGTGACAATCTTCTTGCAGTGATTATTTTCATTATTAACAACACTTATTCAGAAGAAAATCTNGTAAAGGTATGATGTGTGAACTTAATTG